TTGTATCCCGTCACTTCCCTCCTTAAAACCTTCAGAGGCTCCCTATTTCCCTGGAGATAAAGTCCAAGTTGTAGCCTGGTCTTTCCTTGCCACCTACCTACTTCCCCAGACCTCTCTCTCCCTCACTCATACCCTCTGGGCCAGCCATGTCAAACCGTATGATGTTTCCAGAACAGCCCCAGCTTCCTGTCCACGGCAGACATGACTTCTCTGCCCAGAACCTTCTTCCTTCCCTATTCTGTTTTCTTCCCCAAAGTCACTTCTAACATTACCTCCCCGAGGAGAACTTCTGTGGTACCCTACCGACCTTAGGCCCAGCAGTCCCCTGAGCCAATGCCCTCAGTCACGGTGTTATCCCTGGTGAGCATGTACCCATATCCATCTGTCCAGCCACACCTCACCCTATAGGCCGTGAGGCTTCAGGGAGGGCCTGGGCTTGACTCACAGCCCCATATTCTCTGACCTCCACAGGGTCTTAGGTCTTAGCTGCAGAAGTCATCAAGATTCAGGACAGGGAGACAAAGCCTCCTTCCCTTGAAATGGCCTCTGCTCGGCCTCGTTCCAGGTCTCTTTAGCTTGGCTCAGCAAAATCCCTCAGTGGCTGCACTCCCATCACCCCTCTCAGCACCAGACTCTGGTCTCTGGCGGTAGTACAGGGCACCCTGCCCACCATCTATGTGTCACAGTCTTCTCAACCCTGTGGGCACATGACAGCCACCTTGGGGCTTGAACCCTACCATTGGAGGTTCTGCTGTAGTGGGTCTAGGGCAGGTGCAGAACATTAGGATTATTTAAAATGCTGTCCAGGTGACTCTAAGAATGTGTAGCCAGCTTGAGAACCACTCACGCCTAGTCATCCTAGAGTAGAGGTCCTTGTCCTTTGTTGGATGTTACAATCACCCAGAGAGTTCATAAGACTGCCCATGCCCCGGACCTACCATCCCTGACCCAGTAAATGAGAATCCACTGGGCAGTAGCAATCTTGGCATCAGCACTGAATCCTATAGAATCTTCCCTCCCTCCCTGTCTCCTTCCCTCCCTCTCTCCCTTTCTTTGTTCCAGAAACATTTACTGGGCTTACCTATCAAGGTCTGGGAGCACTGAGGTGGATCAAATCCTGCCCCTCCTCGGTGGGGGCTTAACAGGCCTTAACTCAGAGCTGTTAGGAAGGGAAGAGCCCCTCCCCCCACTGCTCCCTAAAGAGTGGTGTACTGGGCCCTGCCCTGGCTCCCAGGGCCGCCTCCTCTTCATCAACCTGCTGCTTTCCCGGGGACGCCCATGCTCGGTCAGCCCAGAGACTGGGTCTCTGTTTCGTCAGATCACATTAGAATGGGGGCTCTCTGTGGGGCTGCCCTGGACCCTGCACGAGGCTGGCGGTAGTGGCAGACCGGGGGCTGTGGGTCTCTGCTCTCTCCTTGGCACACGTGAGTTCCGCAGCCATCCTTTGTCTGCGGCTGCACCTGTAAGCGTGTCTGTGTCTTGGTCCCACGCATGGCTCTGGGGACGGCATGCCAGCAGGACTTCAAGGTCCTTTTGATGGAAAGAATCAACCTGGGTTCTGGGCATTTTTTTAAAAATGCAGATAATATTCACGTATCAAATTAACTGAAGTGAAAACTTGAGTGCCATTTATTGCATTCACAACATTGTGCAAGTACCACTTCTACCTAGTTCCAGAACATTGCCCTTGCCCCAAAAGGAAACTCTGTTCTCCTTCCGCTTACCCCCAGCCCCTGGCAACCACCACTCTGCATTCTCTCTAAGAACTGACCTATTCTGGATGTTTCTATAAATGGAGTCATATAATATGTGGCCTTCTATGTCTGGCGTCTTCCACTTAGTGTGTTTGCAGGGTCCATCGGCCTTTGTAGTATCTACTAGTACTTCGTTCCTTTTCACAGATAAATAATGTTCTATTATATGGCTGGACAGTGTGTTGACTCATTTATTAGTCCATGGACATTTGTATTGTTTCTGCCCTTCGTTATGGGGAAATCTGGGTATTTACAATTCTTTACATCTATACTCCAAACATCTACTGACTGGTATTCTTAGGTCCTTAGCATTAGCCTGTGGGCTGTGGTGGTCCCCTTCCCTGTACTAATCAACTACTATCTTCAGGGTCCCTAAGGGGGTGTAGGCATATGTGGGTCATCTCTTGCTCCAGCTTCCAGCCTCCACTGACATCTCCAACTCTCTCTACATCCTACCTGGGTGATTCCAGTCCCCTCTCTGCACTGCCTCACCCCACCCTACCCGCACCCCAATCTTGGGCAGGAGGCTGGTGCTTGTGCAACAGACTGCAGCCGAGGGATTAGTGTGCAAATGAAGGGGGCAGACAGCCCACTGTGCTGACAAGAGTTTAGATGTGAATTTTGTGTGTCGCCATCTGAAAGGAAAAACTGCTTTTTCTCCATCCTTCCACAACACTTACGATATCAAATGTGCAAGGTTTTCCCTGCATCAGGTAATTCTCCAATTTTCTCAATGGATGGTGACTAGATGTTCTATAATTTAACTCACCCCTGGCACTAGCTGCTGGAGCTAGCTCACACCTCCCAGGGAAGGGGTCCATCCCACAGGCTGCCCCAATTCAGATGCCAGTCTCAAGTCCCGGGCTGCATCTATGCTCGTGACCACTGGCCAGTCACTGGCAATTCCTGCCCCTCCCCCTCAGTATTAATAGTTTGCTAGAACAGCTCATAGAACTCAGGAAAGCACTTTACTTAATCTTACTGATTTATTACAAAGGATACAAATGAACAGCCCCCTGAGGGCATACGCAGGGAGAAGTGTGGACAGGTCCTGGGCACTGGGGCTTCTGGCCCCGTGTAGCATAATGGGGTAAGCCATACTCCTAGCATATGGACATGTTCTTGTTCACCAATCTGGAAACTCTCTAAATCCCTTCAGTTAAGATTTTTATGGAGGCTTCATTACATAGGCATGATTGATGAAATCACTGGCCATTAGTGATTGAACTCAATCTCTCCCCTCCCTGTGGGTGAGGGGGTGGGATGGAAAGTTCCAACCCTTTAATCCCATGGCTGGCCTCCCAGCCCCCACAACTGGCCCCCCTCCTTAGAGGCTTTCCGAAAGTCACATTATTAACGTAAACTCAAGTATGGTTGGAAGGGGCTCGTTATGAATAATAAAAAACACTTCTTTCGTCTTTATGGATCTGGGCTATTTCAGGAACCGGGCACAAAACCCAAATATTAGAGCAAAAGATCCTTCTAGTACTCCTATTATTTAGGAAATTATAAGGGTTTTAGGAGTTCTGTGCCAGGAATTGGGAACAAGACCCAAATATATATTTTCTTCTATCATAATAGCAGACTGTCCTAAAACTTCATACACATGGCACACAGTATTTCTAATGGAGGGGGTCTGCCCATCAGGTTTGGACGGACACCTCCTATTTCCATCTTCTTCTTGTCCTTTTCAAATGCCTCCCACCCAGTATTTAAAGCTGCCAGCAAACAACTCTGTTCATTTGGAGCAACATAAACTTCTGTGTTTTCTGGTCCTTATAAACCACAACCTGGGGTGGGAAGGAGATGGGATGTGGACACCCAAGGTTGATTCTATTTTTTTTCTGAAACAAAAGAAACCTCCTCTCCATGAGGAGAATTCTGCCATGTTTCTGGGCCAACTGTCTCAAACAGCTACCTGCTTTTCAAAAATAGCATGAAAAAAAATCTGTGTGTAACACTAGGTGCCCCATGTTATGGGGATTGCCCTACCTCTTTGTACACGGGGTGTGGGATGGGGCCGGTGCAAGCCTGGACACGCCTTTGAAATTAACCATCTACTCCTTTCTGGTGAATCCTGTCTGTTGAGTCTTGTATTATTTTTTTAAAGTTTGCTCGTGGGTAATGGTTAGGAGCTGGGCTTTCACTGTGAGCAATTCGGAGACCATTAGATGCTTCTGAGCAGGCAAGAGACGTGCCTTGACTTAGATTTTGAAAGGACCTCCCTGGTTGCTGCAGGCACCGCATCATAGGGGGCAAGAAGGTTGCTAGTCAGAGGCTGCTTGGGGACTGCAGGTGAGAGGTGCCGATGACTCGGCCGGGCTGGAGACAACCGGGAGGTCAGAAGCCATCAGACTATGGGGTATTTTCAAAGACAGAAACCATAGCTTCTATGGAGGCCTGGATGTAGAATATGGGAAAAAGAGTTGAGGATGACTCCAAGGGGTGCCTGGGTGGCTCAGAAGGTTAAGCCTCTACCTTCTGCTCAGGTCATGATCCCAGGGTCCTGGGATCAAGTTCCGCATAGGGTCCTTGCTCAGCAGAGAGCCTGCTTCTCCCTCTCTGTCTTCCTCTTCCCCTACTCCAGCTTGCTCTCTCTCACTCTCTCAAATAAACAAAAATAAAAAATTTTTTAAAAAAAGGATGACTCCAAGATGTTTGACCTGAGTGACTGTAAAGGTGGACTTGGGGGAAAATGTAGGCACAACAGATGTGGGACGGTGAGGAGCAGGGGATTAGTTCAGTTGATGTTTCTAAGGTGCCTACTGCATGTCCCAGTGGGGGTGAAAGGGGCAGGTGTATCTGAGGTTGGAATCCAGTAGTGCTGAGGAGGACAGTGGTGATGGAGGGCAGAAGCACCAGAAGTGACAGGTGGATTAGTGATGCCCCCCACACACATTCCTTCACCCCCTGCTCAGGTGCACAAACACAAATAGGAAACATGAAAAACAAAAACAGGAAAAGTAAATGAGGGGGGAAATCACACCTTGGTGCCAAGAAAGAGCTTCAGAAAGTATCTAGTAGAAGAGGGAAACTGAGGCCCAAAGAGTACAGGCAGTTTGTTCCAGGTCATACCACGAGTAAGTGACAGAGCGAGGCAGAGCCAGTCTTCGGGCCGCAGGCTGCTGCTGCTCTTTCTGACACACCGTGTTGCCCACCAGCTCCAGGATTCGAAGGCTGCCTGTGTGCCGGGCTGAAGGCAGGTAGGGCCGAGGCTGGATGACTGTCAGCGTTGTTTCCCTCTAGGTCACCATTCTCGTCAGCCTGGCCCTTGCTTTCCTCGCCTGCATCGTGTTCCTGGTGGTTTACAAAGCCTTCACCTATGACCACAGCTGCCCAGAGGGATTTGTCTATAAGGTAAGGGGTTTCTGGCAGGTGAGTGGCCCCAGGTGACTGCCAACCTCAATTAAAGGGTTTATCAATGTCTTCTTTTCATTGGCCTCCAAACTCGGGCAACCTCCCTGCAGACTATTGAGAATGTGGTATGTGTCTGGCAAGGGTTTCACGAAGGATTTCATTTCCTTCCAGTAGGCAGTAAAGTTCTTCCTCCCAGATGGTGCTCTCCGGAGTCTGGAGTAGGAGGGGGTCCCGCTTCAGGTTGGAGGTCAGCGGTCAGGGAGAGCTCGCTTCCACCCGAGAGGGGCTGGTCCATCCAGAAACCTCTGCCTTGGCACCTGTCTTCCTGGTTTGATGTCTGATTCCCAGTTCCTGTGGCAGGAGCGGTTCATTTACTGAGCACCTATTAAAAGTCACAACCTTTTCTAGATATTTTCATAAACATTATCTCAACCAAGCTGTACACACATTTTGAAAAAAAGGTTTTATTGTCCCCATTTTACATGTGAGGAAACAGGGGAAGAACGTTTGGATGAGAGAGTTTTCCAAATCAGCACATTACATTGTCAAGTGAGGGAGTTAAATGGGGGGTGTTCTGTCTTAGAAACACGCGTCCTTCAGTTCTGCTATGTGGCTTCCTCAGACTCCATTCCTGGTAGTTAAAAGCTGAGGTTCTCAAAGAAGCAACAACTCTCAAGAGGGGACAGTTGATGATGGGGACAATGGATGATGATGTGTTCACACAAGGGATTTCTGGGCAGCTGTGAAAATGGGTGGGGAAGGTCTCTAGAACCGAGCCTGGATTATCCTCCAGGTTAATAATGAAGAGGAAAAAAATGCTTCCCTTGTGTGAGGAAAGGGCTCGGAGGGGGAGGGATATTTGTTTCTATTTTCAGGAAAAATTCTAGAAAGATCAATGAAAAAGCTAGGAAAATTGATACTCAGTGGGGGTGGGGGAGGAAGGAAAGGAGTAGGGGAGACGGGGAAGAAGAGCAAGGCTTCTCTGGAGACCTCTCGCTATCCATTTGTCCTTGGTATCTGTAAATGTCTGGCATATCTAAATAATAAATAACCACAAGTCATTCCTGAAAATTAAAAACAAGCTTGACAAAGAACCTTGCTCTGTATAATTTGGGGATGTCGGCGTACAAAGAAAATAAATATTCCAAATGAGCAGAGTGCATTGACTGTTCACGCACGTAGAATATATTCTAAGGATTTAGAAAGAGGAATCTTAAAGTTGATTCAACAATCTAACTGTTGGTCATAATATTCATGTTATTTTGTGACCATTTGATGTATGTTGTAGGATAACGCATATAGCAATTCTAACAATGTTTGTTGGGAACCAAAGATTTTGATCAGAAGAGTTACAAATAAAAAAAAACAAAAAAACAAAAAACAAAAACAGACAGCCATAGGCTGCAGCAATGGCCCAGAGAAGCAGCTGGGGGAGGGGTGAATGAGCCGGATCAAGAGGTCTGGGGGGGGGTGGGAGGGATGGGGGGTCAGGAGTGCCCTCTACAGCCTCATAGTCACTGAGCAGAGGACTGTGGATTAGTATCAACCTCAGGTTTCTTTCTCTCTTTTTTGTAAATGGAGGGATAATTGACATATAAACATGTTAGTTTCAAGAATCAATGTGATGATTTGATTATTTGCATATATGTTTAAATGTAAGTCTAGGTAACATCCATCACCACATGGTTACAAAAAAAATTTTTTTCTTATGATAAGAATTCTTAAGATCAACTCTCTTAGCAACGTTTAAATATACAATACAGTGTCCTTAACTATAGTCACCATTGTCCATGACATCCCCAAAGCTTATTTATTTTATCTCTGGAAGTCTGTGCCTTTTAACCACTTCCACCATCTTCATCCCCCCACGCCCCCGCCTCTAGCAACCACCAGTCTAGCCTAGGGTTTATTTTTTCTGGTTTCGAGTAGGCAGCAGCTTTGAGGCGGTGATGGTGATGATGTTGGGGAAAGAGCGCTGAGGGCCAGGCCCAGGCCAGGTGACATCCCCTACCCTCTGGTTCAGAGCCTCTTGTGGCTGAGGCCCCCAGATGGAGTGGCCATGGGGCAGGGTGGGTTGGAAGCAGTCCGCTGAGCTCCCCCTGACTCTGTCTCTCTCGTCCTCAGCACAAGCGCTGCATCCCGGCCTCCCTGGATGCTTACTACTCATCCCAGGACCCCAACTCCAGAAGCCGCTTCTACACGGTCATCAGCCACTACAGTGTGGCCAAGCAGAGCACCGCTCGGGCCATCGGGCCGTGGCTGTCGGCGGCTGCTGTCATCCATGAGCCCAAGCCGCCCAAGACCCAGGGCCATTAGAGGCCCACCCCCAGCCAGAATGGGGGGCCCAGCGAGGGGTCCCCTGATGGCTAAGCCAAGCTCCAGTTACAAGACACCACTGTACTCCCGGGATATGGGGGTGGGGGCGGGGCCGGGGTGGGTGGGGGGGATCTCACCGAAATTATCGTGCACTGGAGTTGTCTGAATTGGTATTTCTTTTCGTCCTTTGGTATTGTTGATTCGTCCCCAAGTCAGGATTATGTACAAAGGCATGTTTCGTGTTGACTGTTCCCATGTAAGATATTTTCAATGCCACTGCTTATTACTTGTTAGGAAAATGTAAAAACAGAAAAGGAAACAAAATGAACAAAGAAGGACTCAACTGGCTGCATTTGGAAGATGTTGGCGGGCCGTGAAGAGCACAGACTCTGGGCTTCTTCAATGAGAAGCGGTAGCCTCCGTGGGGGTTTTGGAAGGTACAGGGAATGTGAGCGATGCAGGCTGGGGCTACGTGGTGGGCCTCGGCTCTGCAGGAGGGAAAGACAGGCAGTCCGGACTGGCCTCGTTGGAGAGGAGGGCTGATTTCGGCGTTGTTAAGCCTGGGATTCACAAAACCTAAAGTCAAGAGCACTCACCATGGGTGCGTTTTGCTAAGCTAGCCCAGATCACCATACGGGAATCTGAGCTGGGGCTTGGGCCAGCGCCTGCGGCCTGGGGAGGAACAGGTTCAGTCAAACGCTGAGCAGCAGGCAGACTTTCTCAGTCTTTCTCTTGCGTGTCTAGATCAACACCGGGTGCTGCCTATGTTGAAGAGACAGCAGGGCAGGATGGGGGAGAAGGAAAAAGAGGCCGCAGGACAAAGCAAGGCGTGGGACAGGCGTATTGCATGTGGCCAAGCTAGAAGCACAGGCACCACATTTTAAAAGTCTTGTTTGTTTGGTGTTTCCCAAAGTGCTAAGAGCCATTGGAGGAGTAGTGATAAGGGTCATAGCTGGGAAGCTCAGGTGACAGCTAGGGAGACTTTAAGACTGGGTCTGCAACAATCCCAAATCACCCATAAAGGAAGCTGAAAAATGTGACCGTCTTTTGCCCACATGTTGGACTGACAGCCGTCTGACAAGCACCCAAAGTCCCCGATCTAGTTCTAGAAGCTGACTAGGGGGCAGCGTCTGGCATTAACCAGGCCTCTCGCTGTGGTGGGATGCCACCTCCCCCCGATCAGGCACTCCCACCTGGTTCTCCGGCAAAGGTTTCTGGGAGGCCCCCTCTGCAGGATGTGGCTCCAGGCTTGCATGGACAGAACAGGCTGGGAGAGTTGGTTATTTGAGATGTAGTACTGTTTCCCCATGAAGCCCGACAGCCCGGATAACAGACATTCTCTCCTGGCTTGCTATGTTACCGAACTCATTGTACACAACAGCTGGGTAATAAGACTAGTATAGCTCAAACTATCCTGCCAAACGCTATCATCTGACTTTCCTCCTCCCACCCCATCACCTCGAGTCACCTGTAAATTCATTTGTCATCCGAAGCGGAATAACAAATCGTCCCTAGCAAAACCGCTGAGCGCTTTATAATTTTGTGGTGTATTTTTGTCAGTAGGTAGCAGAGGCTGAAGTATTTTTTGGTGTAATTCTTGAACTTTTCTGACAGGAAACAAATAAAGATAGATGTGTCTGAAATTCTTGATCTTCCTTTGCAACCTTCCTCACCTTTTGCTCAGTGAGCTTGGTGGGATGCTGCCGGGGTCAGAGATCTCTGTCTCTAAGGTTAGGGTGGGCTCTGGGGGCAGAGTGTCTTGTGAGGCTGCGGCTGGAACTGGGCTGTGGGGGGACCTCCATCTTCAGGCAGGTGGGCCCAGAAATGATACATCTGGCCACAAGGCCATGACCCCCTGAGTATCTGGTGAGCGCCTGCGGAGGGCCAGGCTGTGCTGGGCACGGAGCACTCAGTGATGAACAAGGCATAGTCACCACCCTGACATCTGGAGATGGAGTTGGACATGGACACAGATGCTGGCAAAAGAAGAGTCTGAGGACGCCACCGGTGTGACACAATTGACTGTTAGCAAATAGCTTGAGGAGGACGGTGATGAGTAATCAGTGGGGTCCTCTTCATAAGTAGCTTTGAGGTTTATTATAACCATGGCAGGGGGTCGTTATTGACCCCCATTTCACAGATAAGGAGACTGAGGCTCAGAGGGATGGAGAGGTGCCCTAGGGCCATAGCAGATGAGCTGGGATTTGGACCCCGGTCTTTTGGGAAGGTCCTTTAGGAAGTTCCTTTGCCCTGCCCCCCCAGCCTTCTTCTCTAAGACCCTGAGCCACCTTGTCAAGGTTATAGTTCATTTCCCCCAAAAGTCAAGTCACTGTTACCATAAAAGCAAACTAGCTCACTCTCAGCCAAAACTCAGTATCAATGATTAATGTTAAGAATAGCAAACATGTGGGACGCCCGGCCGGCTCAGTCGGTAGAGCATGTGACTCTTGATCTCGGGATTGTGATTTGGATCCCCCCGACCCCTGCCCCCAACCCGGCCCAAAAAAGAATAGCAAACACATGAATGCCCCTTGCTCTGTGCCGGGTACTACATGGGTCATATAACCCTCCATCAGCTCCATGAGGTAAGCAGCCTCATCACCAACGTCACTGTCAGCGCACTGTCATCCTCATCCCCACTTTGGGATGGAGGAATGGAGGCATGGAGCAGTGTGGCAGCCTGCCCAAGGTCACGTGGTTGGGAAGTGGCTGAGCCACGCTCCCAACCCACAGGTTTTAGGACTAGTGTTCTAACCACGGAGCCATTTAACAGTAACCGTTCACCCCTGCATTTTGCTTGGTAGCTTATGGTTTGCTTTCACAGTGCTTCTCAAACCCAGATGATAGGATGTTTGAGGGAAAGGCTGGGATTGACTCTGGGCATAGCTGGAGGCTGAGGCTCCAAGTTCATTGCTACACTGAGGACTGTGGCCATTCATGCATGCCTGGCGGGAAGAAGGAAGCTAGTGGGGCTCCTGCCCTTTGGGGCGGCCCACGCTGCTGAGTGCTGGCATGAGACGATCCTACCCGCACCCACGGAGCCCTGGAATTCAGCCTCTCTTCAGGGCAGGGTGAAGCCAGGGCAGGGATCTGGGCGGGCAGCCCGCTCGTGGAGGCAGGCTGATCCATATGGCCAACGTGTAGACACCCACTATTTTTTTCAATTACACAAAGTCAACTAAAGACTTAATGAACACATGTTCAAACATTCTGTCATAAGTGGATTTGCCACTCCATTGCCTCAAAAAATAAACCAAAGCCATCTTTTCTGTGGAAGGAACAGGCTATGGGTATGTGACTGGAAAGGAGGGAGACGGTGGGGGCTAGGTGTTGGGCGACAGATACTTCTGTTTTTAGGGGCAACCCTGGGCCATATGCTATGCTTGGTGGAGTCATACCTTTCTCAGCAGAAAAAAAAAAAAAGAGGATACTAACTCTTCTCACAAGACCCAAGGGGTGGGTGATTAGTTCTAGAAGAGTTTAACCAGAGGGGGTTTGGTCGGGGAAAACTGCTCTGGTTTTTGGAGGATGGGGTTTTGCAGGGATACCGCTGGCTGAAGGAGAGTCAGGGGAAGACAGGAAATCATGACATAAACAGCACCTTGGTTCATGGGAAAAGCTCAGTCTGTGGCTTTTGCACGCTTGTTAACCTAGTCACTGACACAGGGGATCGCTCTCTTGAGAGGCTTTCAGCTGACAGGGAGAGAAGACAGACAGAAAGTGTGCAGGAGAGGTGGAGGGGAGGGCGTGACAGGGTGGCTGTGAGCCACGGGTCCATGGAGGAACGAGCCTTAGAACTGGACCTTGAAGGACGGCTTGCATTTTTGATGGAGGGAATTCAGGAGGGTGGAGAGAAGACGCCACAAAGCAGCACTCCCAGGTAAGGAGACCAGCATGACAGAAGCGCGGAGGAGACAGGCCCAGAGCTGCTCTTCACACAGGCTCTGGGAGGTCCCCTCCAAACCAGAGCTGGATGCAGAGATGACATGCCCAGGACAGAGCTGCTGCCCGCCCCTGCGGCTTCCCGGCCAGGCTTGGGGGAGGGGAGGCAGAGACCTGAAGAGACCATTGCTGCATCTGGGGTGGCGGGGGAGAGGCTGTGATGGCACCAGAGTAATCCCAGCAGGCAATCAGGCCCGGGGGTATGTAGAGAGATGTACATTCTTCTTGGAAAATCGAAAAACTACCTGCCGGAACTGCTGTTGATCAATTTCTTCTGCTCCCCTCACCCCGACATCGGGTTCGAATCTGACTGGGGAGTCATGTGGAGGAAGAGAAAGAAGAAGAAGAAAATAAATCCCTGATCATTTTTCCAAGAAGCACACATCACCGCCTCTTTAGAAAAACAGTGCTCCTGAACGGTTGAGGGGAAAAGACTGGTTTCCATGGCAACATCAATGTCATTCCCCATAGATCAGCCTCAAATCTGGCACAGCGGAGGGTTTATCGGATTCTGTCCCTTCGTCAGAGATGATCTGCTTCTGAGAACCCAGACCCAGAGTTCATTAGTCAAAGTTGTCCTCAAAGGCAGTCTTGCAGTCTCTGGACACTCTCTGTCTCTCTCTCTTCTCTCTGTCTTTGTTTTTCTCTGTCTCTGCCTCTCTGTCTCCTTCCAAGGGAAGGATGTCCAGAGGCTGTGGACTGAATTGATGTAGTTTATATTTCAGTTTGAGGCCCCAGGTGAGTGCTGGGCTGGGTGTGGGGGACAGAGGGGGAAACAGAGTTCCTGGGAGGGGCACAGCGTCCCCATGCTGTCCTTCCTGGACCTGGGGCCTCAGCTAACTCCATTTCCCCCTCCCAGCTTCAGCCTCTCCGTATTTAAAATGGGAACAATAATTGTACCTAACTTTTTTTTTTTTTTGCCAGAATTCGAAGAAATAATACTTAAAGATTTACCTATGGGTGGTATTCAACAAATTATAGCCACCATATCTTGAACAACTCCCTTCCTCAGACTCCGTTTCCTCATTTGTCAATTGGAATTATTTATTTAAAAACAAAACAAAAACAAAAACCCTCCCCTCACAGGATTGCTGTGGTTTAAAATAAGGCAGTGCTGTGACATGTCCTTGACCCAGAAAGTGGTCACCAACCACCTGCCCTTAGGAAGCCCGTGGGCCCCACCCCTTTTGTTCCAGGCATCCCTTACCTCGTCACCACAGGTGCCCTAACACAGACCACATGTCCCCATTCTCCTCATGTCTTCCAACAGGTTTTCATTTGTAAACTTAGTCACACAAATACATCATTTTTCTTTTTTACAAATATATCATTTTTAAATGATAACGTTCATTTAGGCCATTTTGATCAAACTCTTTA